CCTTACTGGTTACTGTTTTTTTTTTTTTTTTGTTCTTGCAATATGTACAAAAAATATAAATAATATCAAATTAGAAATGCAGTCTGAGGATGCCAGAATGCATGAAGAAATTTTTAAGTCTTTAAAAAATGACAATATATGCACTTGTTGGTCAATTGTGACTGAAGTCAAAAATGAACGAAACGAAGATGTTTCCTTATACGGTCGACTCCGCTTTACTGTAAGTCGCTTAACTGAAAAATATCGGATAAGTGAAATTGATTTCCTGCACCATTACATTTTAGGTTAATCGTCCACAATTTACTCCACATAAGTGAAACTTCGCATAACTGAAAATATCGGATAACTGAAATTTCCTTTCAAATTACTCCGTATAACTGAAAATTGTGAGAATGAACGATGACAGAATATTTTGTATTGAGGAATACACATCTTCAAAGCCCATCCTAATAGATATTTTTCTGCAATTATTGATTTTTGGACGTATAGAACGTATATATAAATTTGACGTCGAAGAATTTTAAGTTCGTTCGGCCAAACTTTTAAAACCATTTCGGAAATTAAAAAAAAACTCCATTCCCCATTTCTATATTTTATATACAAGTCACAAAGATGTACGAAAATACATTACCCAATGGGGAAATGCCAAAACTATGTTATTATTAAGGCCTTCAAGATGATAACCAAATTTTAAATAGAAACAATGTAAAAAAGAGACTCTATAATGAACAAATTTTGCAAGGAAGAATGTTACTCATTTACAGCCCCATATTACAGGCAAGTCAGCTATATTAAAAAATCTTAAATCGGCTAGTATGAAACTTTACACATAAAAAATACTGTTCATAATAAAAATCCTTTGAGCAGTGAACATGTCAACCAGTTTCTATTTCTATCGTATATTTTCATAAAATTAGAGTCCTACGAATTTGATATAAAATATGAATTATTGAAATTCCTAAAACTTGAAAATGTTTCCCTTATGAGAAGTTGGGATAACTGAAATTATTTTCAGTTAGCCGAACTCCGCTTAAGTGAAAACATCGGATAACTGAAACAAACATCCATATCCTTTTCAATAAAGCGGAGTCGACTGTATATCACAAATTTTTAGAGGGTAATTATATATTCCACATTCATCTACAAATGTGGAAAGAGTATTTTCATATCAAAATATAATTAAAACCAAAGAAAGGAACAGAATACATGCTTCGACTGCTTCAAATCTTAATTATTTTTTTATGTATGTTTTTATTAATTGTTAATAACAACAAAAATTTTATTAAAAAATATATAAAAAGTACAATCGGACTGAAAAAAGTACACTTTTTATTGAGAAGCCAGTACAGTTTGAATAATTTCATTTCGCATCCCTGATACACTTTTTATTGAAAACCAGTACAATTTGAATAATTTCAGTTCGCATCCCTGATACACATATGGTACCTATTACTTAAAATTGTATACTCCTTTCGTACCTATTATATACTTTTTTTGATCGTTCCCACGCCACTCTTACTCTTGAATTGTTCTGAAACAAACCTTACTTTTTCAAGGGAGTTGGAATGTTTAATTGAGAATTGTACTGAATTACTACTTTTTATTATTATTGTTTTGGTCTTTAATTATTCGTTAAATGTATGCGCTACTGTTTATTGCAACCATGGGTTAGCGTTTTTTACGTTTTAACGAGGAATTAACTGTCACTTGTTTTACCGCCTGCTTTAGCCATCAAGGAGTATCAACCTGTCATTAGGACAGACAATATGCATATTGTTGAACAGAGGCATATCGTTGCCAAAAGGTAATTTCGTTAACACCGATCAACCTACCACATAAACATTGAATTATTATTAAGAAAACTCCTGTGTTTTATTTGTTTCTTTTACTTTCCCGAACACGGCTCAACGTACAACATTCCCTACGGTCCACTGCTCGTCGCATTCGGCGTACCCTCAACTAAACACTCATATAAACCGAATGACTGTAGGTTGTCCGTGTGTCTTTAAAGACAACAACGAAGAGTTATATCACTGTTGAGACAGCAGCAATTTAATACTTTTTGTGCTGACTGAGCAACCAAACGACCCAACAAGCAGTATTAGGATATATGTGAGTATTAACAAACCAGTTCTTGTAATAGGAAGAGAAAATGATAATGTAAATATGATGATTTAGTTTGTGGCATATAACAATAATGTTTATTTATTTAGGTTTTCGTATTGGAACGACCGCTTACCAAGGGAACAGATATGGTTGATGTTGTTAACAAGTGTTTTATTTAAAAGACAATCTTTCTTCAACACTCAGTGGAATATTAAAATTAGAACATAAATAAAGTTACCAGGGTGGGAAATCGAAAGTTGTAACGTACTTAAAGAGTTTAATTATTTTATTTATTGTCAACTTTATGACTACATGGTTGTTGAATTGAAAAATATAAATTGAGTTTCGTGACACTATTGGCCGGTTTCAGAAAATACAAAAATTAGTGTAAATTGTTTTTGAATTGATAATAGAATCAACAGATATATTAACGAAGGTCCACGAATATAACAAATATAATAACAGTGTGTCAATGGTATGTCGCTAAACCTCATAATTTTAGATAGCAAATTCCGTTTTCATTTACATATTGAATCTTGTGTTAACACTAGAACGCCGAAGGTGGTCATTTTGACCGCTTTCCAATTTCAAGTACAAAAGCAACTGTGCATTTAATGACACTTTTTTTTTAATTTGGTAAATTTTTTATAATAAACGTAATTCTAAGAGGTACAAAAAGTCACCACATTTTAAAAAAAGTGTCATTAAATGCACAGTTGCTTTTGTACTTGAAATTGGAAAGCGGTCAAAATGACCGCCCTCGGCGTTCTAGTGTTAATAAAGCTAGGTATGATCCGTATATAACGAAACGTCAAAATGACCTCATTCTGAAATAGTCTTGGGCAATCTCGTTTAGTTCTGTGATCGAACGAAGTAGATCCTTTTTTAAAGTGAACTAGGTCGTTCACCTATTTCAGTTGCATATATCGTTCAAATAGTTACCTAGTTCAATTAGCATGGCAAAGTATTCCAATTAATTTCTGGCAGTTCAATCAACCGTAAAGAATGATGACCATTCATAATCATTCAAAGGACTTTCCTATCTATATTGGACACTTTTTAATGGGTGGTGTTCGATGGCATAACTTCATTGCACAATTGTTTGCACTGCAGTTTTTATTTTCGGACACCCTTGTCTCTTTTCCGTGGTTTCTAGCTCCACTGTTTCTACGGGAGTGCTTTGCTTTTAAATGTCGCTTCATATTTTTTATTGACCCTCCAGCTATACGTAACACATTACTGCAGCATTTGACATTTTAAGCACCGTATTCCATGAAATGGGACAATAATATATTACACGTACCTTCATTTTTAACAGATTTTATACGAAACTGTTCTTATTTGACGCCGTTCAATTGGTCTAAGTCAGAGCACCGGTGAATAACACTGAAGGTGTAGAAGAAAATACAACGTCATGTCCATGAAATGGGACAATAATATATTACACGTACCTTCATTTTTAACAGATTTTATACGAAATTGTCCTTATTTGACGCCGTTCAATTGGTCTAAGTCAGAGCACCGGTGAACAACACTGAAGGTGTAGATGAAAATACAACGTCATTCAGTGACCGACGGCGTTCAGTGAGGAACGTCTTGCAGAGACCGACTGCGTTTAGTAAACAAAATCGTTCAGTGAACGACAATAATACGAACGGAACTATGTCATTCACTCGTTCAGTGGACTGACTCGTTCAATTGAACTAGATCGTTCACGAACTACACAAGCTTATTCTGAAAGAATTTTTATTGTATAAAGAAATTATTTTTAAGTTATTTTTTATATTTTTACATTATCTACAATCATACAAAACGTTGTTATTATTTGTTTTCGGTGGGAGGACTCTCGAGTTTCCCTTTTTGAAAAATAAGAGCGCGGACAAAATGTTCCAAAAAGTGAAAGTGTTTTACTCTAAGAGTGAAATCGACTGGAAATATAAAAATTATTTTTTCCGATCTGTGTGTTCGTTTGTGTATCTAGAGTAGCAAACGGTTTTCGATGTTGTTGTAGTAATCTGGTAATATAAGAATTTACTTTATACAATAATAAAAGTAGTTTGATTATTTAATATTTCAGAAGAGGTCAAAATGACCGATTTTAGGCAATATAGGTATAGTACATGTGAATACGGTGAATGAAAGAAGGGGAAATCAGCTACAATGATTAATAAACGTAGTTCTATGTGGTACAAAAAATCACCAAATTTTAAAAAGCTGTGTCATAATATACACAATTTTTTTGTACTTGAAATTGAAAAGCGGTCAAAATGACCGCCTTCGGCAATATAATGTTAATATGGGTAGCCATATATTGCCATGTAACAGCTTTCTATAAAGTAATATTTTCATTACAAAATTAACCATAAATACACAGTATACAGCTCACTGCAGTTAATTTTTTGCGTAGATATGTACCAAAATTTGCTATTATTGACATGTAATTTTACTGTGATCAGGAATATACATAGTTTCTGCAAAAATATTTTTTCTAATCATCTATGGGAAACCAAACCTGAAATACAAAATTCCTGTAGTTCCATTACATTGGAACTATGTGACATAGTTTCATATATTTCTGGAACAACAACATTCTCCCAGAAGATACATTGAATGTTAAAATATGGATATACATTGAAAATGTTCAATTCAATTACTCGTTTTCAAACATTATAAATTACATTTTGCGATTTCAGCAGACAGATGGCGGCTAGAATTTTACCTGAACATAGTTCGAGGTGTTGTATACGTAATTACTTACTGATGTCAATATACGTTATAATTTAATACAAACTATTAAATATTAATGGGGTTTATTACATTTACTGAATTATATTTCATTTAAACCCATAAGATGACTTTTAATTACTAAAAAAGTAAGTTAGTATATATAACATTTAGCTTTCATCCATTGAGAAATCCATGTTATTGGAAAGAGAGTCCTTCTGAACGTATTCGTATATTTTACTCAGCTCTGGAGACTCTTTTATTGATTTAAGAAAATCTGTCAGTTGCTGATTTTTTTCTGAAAAATCGACAATAATAAAATCTTACATCCAATTCAAAAAATATATAAATTATCACCATACCTGCTTTTGGTATTTTTGACAGCGCCCACACAGCACGTAGAGCAGAACGTTTTAGCTCATCTTGTTTTTCATATTCCTGTTTCACGGAATTAGCCTTCACCTTGTGTGTGCATGTATCCCGTAATTGTTGTATAAATTGATCTAGTCCTACAATTAACAAAATTAGAAAATATGTTGAATATATACGTTAAACGGCAATATTAAAAAAATACAAACATAATTATATTGCAAAAAACAATTAGATGATTTTGCTTTTTTATAAATTAAAGAAAATATAAATATATTGCGTTACCATAAACAGGAACAGTACATAATTAAAAAAAAAAATTAGTTTACCCATGTTTCCTATAAATATATTACGGATATTTTAAGCAATAAAATAAAATTGCATATGTAATAAAACAAACAATTCCAATTACTACTATCATAATTTAAAATTAAATAAGTACATAAATAATATTAAAGAACCAATATAAAGTGCGTCGAAAGAAGCGCATCGTAAATTTATGTTATTGTTCAAAAACGATACATAGCTTACGGGAATTTAGTATCTCATTATCTGCATAAAAGGGGTTATTTGGTCATTATTGCCAGATAATTAACCTGTTTAAAAAATCATTCCAATGGAAGTATCGTGAAGTTTAATGCTCTCCGCTTATGGAGTTGTAGGAACCAGGGCTTACAATGCAACTTCATTATCTGAATAAAGGTATCTCATTATCTGAATAAAAGGCATTACTGCGAGATAATTAACGAGTTAAAAAAGTCATTCTAATGCAAGTATCGTGAAGGTTAATGCACTCGGGTTATAGAGGTGAAGGGATAAGAAATATTGACATTATGACTAAATTAGCAAACGATCTGAATTTTTCGTCAGGAGCTTTTGTGCTGATCACGTAATTTACATGCGATCTTTTTTGTTAATACTAATCTGCAATACGACAACCTATTCATAACTCGTTGCAGACGAATAATCAGCCGATGGAGGTTTTTATGTTTGAATTTATGAAAAAATAATATTTTTAAAATTTTGTTAATTTTAATGTGTGATTTCAACTGGCAACGCCACTGAAATTAAACTTAATATAATTGGTCTGTTCCCGTACTGCAAGAATCTACTAGATTTTACTATTTTCTTCGATAACATAAAGGAAATTTCGTTATCGTAGTAAAAAGTAGTAGATTCTTGCACTACGGGAACAGACCATATGAATATAAACTTTATTCAGTTGCCGTCGATAAGACTGTTTTGACACTTCTTCAACTATAAATATTAGTTCCGTTCCAGAACCTAAAAGAATCTACTCATTTTACATGTTTTGCAACTTTTTACTCGAAAACCGTTCCTCATCCCACAAAACTGGTAAAACATTGAATCAAATTTAAGAGAGCACAAAACAAAATGGCGTTCTCTTTGTAAACTTTTTACACGAGAAATTTGGCCGAGCAAAAATGGTAAACAGGAATGCCTACTTCTGATTGGCTGTTACGTTGATTTTGAAGTATTGCCATCTAATTTTGGCATATTTACTAGATTTGCGTTCCCGAACTTTTCGAATTATTTTGTACTCTGAGAGCAATTTTGAAATGTTTCCCTTTTAATAGATTTACTATTAAAAAAGTAGGGGAGACTGGGGCACCTTCGGCACTTTTTTTTTTAGAGCTCTATATCTCAGTACTTATTCAACATATATAACAACTTTATGGCTGATTATTGTCCTCGGACACTTAATTATAAAAAATAGTACCAAAAAGATATAAAAAAATAGTATTAGTTAAAAAATTTTACAGTTTTGTAAAAAAGTCAAATTTGCCGAATGTGCCCCAACCCGGGGTAGCTTCGGCATTTGATGGGGCACATTCGGCATAGCCGGGCAATTGTCATCGCTATCAGTCTGGTTGAAATTCTGATCCTCTAAAGGCTCTATTTGGTTTTAATACGCCACACAATGTTTGAATTATAGGGCTTTATTTTCTAGCGGCGGACGTTTACATCTCAAGGCAGCACACACCATCAGAAATAGGGGTTTTTATGGCATTTCCGTCAAAACAAGCACGTTTGATCTCATATATGCAATTTCGAACCATATTAAAGGATTAGTTTTATAGACAAACTCAAAAACATTTTAAGGAAATAATATTGCATAATCTGTATATGGCCGAATGTGCCCCACTTTAAAATGCCGAATGTACCCCGAATGTACTTTTTATAGTTTTTTCATTTTTTCCGATCAGTTTAGTAAAAACATTATATTTTTAAATATTTCCATAATATTACACATCGTAGTTAACCACTTTTTAATAATATTGTCTTAAAAATTTGGAAAGTTCTATACACGAAATACTTACGAAATGGATTTGAAATATTACAGAAACATCTATAAAAATACAAAAACCCATGTATCTAAATAAGCTTATTAGCTAGAAATTTCAAACTTTGTGTCAGTTATTTATTTCAATATTCGATACCTATGTATCGAAACTAGTGATGTACGGTGAGAGCTTCATATCGAAAACGCAATTGCCGAAGGTGCCCCGATGCCGAAGGTGCCCCGATGCCGAAGGTGCCCCAGTCTCCCCTACTGGAACAGACCAAACAAAAAATTGAATAGAATATTTCAGAAAAAGTAATTATCAGCCTTATTCTGGATATTCGTTGGGAGATATCTCGCATGTAAAAAAATTTTCGCTTACACATTCTCGGCTTATTCTAAATGCATAGGGAGACGCAAAAAATGCGAGATGCGGATTCGAGTTTTCGAAAATGGTGGTTGAAAAAAAGATTTGTGTGGCCACATTTGAATTTAAGTAGCAATGTGTGTTGCCCCATTGTAATTTAATTGTGTAATATATTTCAATATTTTATTTATTGATTTTTAATTAAAAATGTTTACTTTTTATTGTTATTTAAACTTTATAACAATACAAATGTGAAATATCAATAATCCGCTGTATAAATGCCTTGTAATTAAAAGAAAATAAATTAAAGTTTAAAAATATGGCAACCTACAATATGGCACAGCTGTTCATTGTTTTGATGCAACAACTACAATAGATTACAAATAAAAGAACATTTTTATGATGGCAATAACACAACGAATAATGGGAAGAAATCTGCGATTGAATTAATTCACAGTTTATTATTTCACTACATACTTGTATGCCTTTTTATTTAATTTCGATATTTATCTCCCCAAATTCCTTAAGTGGCCAGTTATGATTTGCTCCTACTCCTTTATTTCTTCCTTCAAATCATGCACACGATAATTTTGAAAAAAAATATATATTTTTTGTTGCTTTATTTTTGTTCTTTCATAATTCTTATTTTTTTCTTGAGAAACAGATCCTCACCCAAAAAGTCTGTATTTCGCCTCCAAATGCATCAAACTCGACTTAAATATTCCTTATTACCTTCATACATTCCTTGGCAATATTTGGTTCAGCATGCATCGTTATCAATAGGATTTCCAATGACATTTTATTCGTTGTTTTCCAGTTAAAAAATTGCTTACTATCATTTATAATATTCTAAATCGTCATAGAATAATAATACCAAATACAGACGACAGCCTTAATTTGAATTAATATTTACCCCTGACAGACGATAGTTTCTGCATTTATGAATCAGTTTTTTGTTTCAAAACTATTGTTTGTCTGTGTGTAGAAAGAAAATATTGGCATTTGTTTACATTATTTTTTAGGATTACATCTTTATGAAAAGGATATATGCCAGACAGGAAGAATAACAGCTATAATGATGATAAAACTGCGCCCAATTCGACGGAATGTTGTATTTTGCCTTTATTTCTAATTTTTATTTTCATAAACGTTAACAAATTTGACAACAATCAATTTATTTTCTACAGCATTGCCATATTGAAATTGGTTAATTCAGTATAAATTCGGTTTGATTTTGTGCATTTACAACACATAAAAATGAGGATAATGTACAAGTTAATTTGAATTAAGGCTGTTAATGCAAATTAAGGCTGTCGTCTGTCTAGGCTATAAGTATTGTGTAAATATTTTTCATAAAAATATTTATTACTTATGTTTTTGTAGTCAGCTCCCTTTGAATTTATTCAGAATACCTAATTTTTCCCCAAAGCGGATTTTTTCGCTTTCGAACTTCATTCAGAATAAGGCGAAAGCGAGAATGCGAAAAAATTTCAGGAAAATGTTGTTCAGAATAAGTCGATGGGGAAGAGCGAGTAAATTCACGTGGGATTGACATAAGGCTGTATATCTTACAAGGTCAGTGAAACTATTATTTGATAATGAAAATGATGTTAAAGGTGTTAATAGATGCCATTAGATGGCATTTAAGAGATAAATCCATTGGAACTACCATCAGTTATGTGAGTAGATGCTTATGTTTAGAGAAATGTTCAATCAACTGCTCATTTTAGCTTGAAGGCGTATTTACGGCTACTAAAAGATGCCGTTGTGTACTTATTTGAAGCCTTAAACCCTGCTTTCCTAAAAGCCCGGCGGTCAACAGCAACTCCTCATCTCTCAAAAGTGTGTGCAGCTCTGACGTTTTTTGTGGAGGGAAGTTTTCAAAAGTTCCATGGCAACGACTCCAACCCTGACATGGCTCAACCCATAATGTCGGTGGTTTTGGCCGAAGTTATCCGGCTAATAGAGGAAAAAATGTGTAAGATTTGGATTGTTTCCAAATTAACAGAAGAGGAAAAAGGGAAGAATACAATTTTTTATTCGAAAACAAAGTTCCCGGTTGTTGTCGGATGTATTGATAAAACACACATACATATCATGGACCCAAAAAAAGATGTTCGCCACTCTCTGCCATTCATTTGGAATGCGTGTTGGTTGGCCATAGCAGTTAAGGTCTTCTGAAATGCCCTTCCACACATCATCGATAGTGGCTTTGGTTTGACCGAAAGTCCGCACGCCGCGTGCTACATTTGGGTGAGCTTCCATCCGGGCAATTAAGACCTTAAATTATTCTATTGTAGTAATATTAGCCATTATGGAAGCCTACAATTTTCAGTTATTATTTTTAAACACTAATAAGCAGCAACCAGAAATAAATGGTTGCCGAAAAATTTTATTTGAAGCAACTGAAGTTGACAACAATTGCCATTCATAATTCAAATTTGGCAACTGGCAACGCCACTAAACTA